GCATCTCGCGCAGTCGTTGCTGAAGCTGTCGGCGACTGCGGTAGAAGGCAGCATTGTTGTCCTCAGTGGGATGATCTACGTAGGCTTTGTGTAGGCGGTTCTTCTCAGCAAGCAGATATCTGATGGCAGCGTCGTTGTCGTCGAACCAGTCCTGATGTTGGCGGGGAGCGCGACCAAGGACGGCGAGCGCCGTCGACTGGACCGTGTCTCGAAGTTGACACCAGCGGTTTTCCACGGAGGTGTTCTCGGCAGCGGCGGCGGCATCGTCGGCGGCGGCAGCGATAAGAAAATTGTCTAGCCGTTGAGCTAGCTCATTGCTGAAATGAAGATGGTGAGCGGACAAAGACAATAAAGCAACATTCAGCTTACCTGGGGTCGCTTACCTTGTGGTCTCCTGCGAGGCTGTAGGCGAATACGCATCTTCGAGATGACGAGGCGATGGTCGGTCCACCCGTCAGCACCCGCGATCGCCTTCGTCACCAGCACGTCCCGCTGATCTCGCCTCCGGACGAGGACATAGTCCAGCAGGTGCCACTGACGCGACCGAGGATGCCTCCAGGTGGCCTTCTCTCGCTCCGGCAGACAGAAGAACGTGTTCGTCAGGATGAGGCGGTGTTCTGCGCAGATGCGGAGAAGAAGCAGGCCGTTGTCGTTGGAGCCGCGAAGACCGTGAGGACCCAGCACTCCCCTCCAGGCAGTATGGTCTGTGCCGACGCGGGCGTTGAAGTCACCACGAACAATCAACTTGTCCGCCTTCGACACAGTCGCCAAGATGGCGTGCAGGTCCTCGTAGAATTTGTGTCTGACGGCGTCGGGGTTGGTCATCGTCGGAGCGTAGGCGCTGATGATGGTGGCGAACTTGCCTCCTCGCCGGAGAGGCAGACGGAGGCTCATTAGGCGGTCGTTGATTCCCTGCGGCAAGCAGGGTATTCGTCCCACGATGTCGGTCCGGATGGCGAAGGCGACACCCGCGTCTCGTCGCTCTGCCCTGGGTCGACCACTCCAGAAGAAGGTGTAGCCGGCACCCACCTCCTCCAGTTGGCCTTGTTCGGAGAATCGGGTCTCGCTGAGTGCGGCGATGTCCACCTTGTAGCGCGCCAGTTCTCGTGCCACTAGCGCCGTCCTCCGTTCCGGTCGGTTGCTCCTCGGATTGTCTAAAAGGGAACGAACATTCCAGGCTGCCAGAGTGAGCGGGCTCACCCTGTCAGTCTGGGGAAAACGAGTGGGGCGACGGGAAGGAGGTGGAGAAGAAGATGACGAAGGAGAAGAATAGGCAGAAGAGTAGACGGAGATAGAGTTAGAAGAGGTAGGATGAGGAGCAGAATGAGTATGGTCGTTGTAATTGGTATTGTTGTTGTTTCGATTTTGAGGGTTTCGACCGTGTTGATGGCATCTGCGGCCTTGGCTGGCCTGCAGACGGCGTGGTGCCCAGCATTTTTTTAGACCACCTTTTCTAGGCCATTCCCCTCGCGGGGGCAGGCAGTGCCGTCCCTGAATCGGGCTGCCCATGTGCCTGGTTGGCGCGACCGAATCCCACTATGGGGCCACGACTTTTATGTTCGTAGTGGAGAACGACCGCATGTGCCGTGAGTCCGCGGTCTCCGTCGGCGGGGGTGGGCGCGTCTCAGCGAAGGCGATGCAGAGACCCGTCCCGGCAGCAGTTATCCAACGGCGTACCAGGCAGAGCCTCGTCTCGACGATGCCGGCGCAGTGTTTCATCCGACCATCCATTCGGCGGAGTCCGCGGTACGCCGTGCACTCGGCACAAGTGCACAGCCCCCTCACCTGGTTTAGCCCGCCGGTCGAGACGGTTGCCCGGGGTGTGGCCGCTGAGCAGAGCCCAGCTACGTGGAGCCACAGGTGAGAGTTGGGTGCCAGCAAATGGACGCTAGGCGTAGTCTCACCTGCAAGCAAGTGAGCGACCACTACGACCATCACGTGGACCCACCGCTGACACACATACACCCCACACACACACACACGACAGTTCGTCCGTCGGTTTCGACGATGACCACCGTGTGCCCCACTGCTGCAGCAGCGGTGGGAGCAGGGACGGTGACTTGCGCAGGGGTTTATAGTGCCGGTAGACTTGCGCTGCATCTACCTACACTCTCTCCTCCTCCCCCGCCTGGGCCCGGTGTCAAGACAGAGTCAAGAAGACCGGAGACGAGGGAGGCCGCAGGTGGATGGTTCGGACGGATCCTCACCTTGGCGTTCCACCACACCCCCTGGTCCACACAACAATAACCAGGATTTCAACCAACACCACAGAGATTTGGAGGCTGGCACGGCCGAAGCCGCACCTGGGCGTGCCGCCAACGCCTGGCTCGGATCCCACACTGTGGTGGGAAAGCCATAAAGGCCACATTAAAAAGGAGCCATTGCAGCCTGACTCTCAGACCGCCTCCCGTTAAGGAGGAGGTCCAAGGTATCCCGTCAGTTGGCAAACTTCCAAGCCACGGCTTTTAGCGCACCGTGATAGCTTCAAGCGCGTCAGATTGATTATAGTGAGGAAAATGCGCTGAGTCGTCGACCTCACTCTCCCTTCCCATTCCCACACCCCAACCACTGTCCGAGCCGGTCAGTAGACTGGAGTGGGGAATGGGCGCGGTGGCTGACATGGTGGACTGACCATGACTGCGCGCGCCACAGCACGACCTGGCCCCCCATACACACACAAACACCAGGATTTCACACAACGGGGGTTGAACGGCGTGTCTCTCACTTGCGTGAGAGTGCCGTGGAAGGTGCTGTTGCAGGCCGTCCTCAGCCCACCAGTCCGCCACTCCACACAACACACACACACACAACGTGACGGACTGCGTGAGCCGAGAGCGGGCCTCAATCAGCAACCTTCCTATCCACGACACTTGAAGTGTCGGGATAGTCTCGGACACAAGTCACCCGTACAGCCGAGGCCGCATGGGGACCGGGTCGAGATGCACACTTCCCACTTGCGTGGGAGGCGGCAGCTGATTGCATGAGGTGAGTGGGGGTTGATGTCTGATTGGGTGATGGTGTTAGGAGGTAGAGAGTGAGGGAATGTGTGGTGTGACCGGCGGTTGTCTACCGCAGGTCGTCGTGGATGCGCATGTGGCCGAATAGACCCATGCGATGCGTGAAGGTGCGAGGGCAGTGTGGGCAGTGGAGGCGAGTGCGGTGGGTGTAGGTTGGTGCTCCAGGCACTGGTTCGCCAGTCTCTGTGCGATGGATTCGCAAGTGACCGACCAGGCCGATGCGAGAGGTGAAGGTGCGTGGACAATGTGGGCATGAGAGGTTGGCGGTGTCGGTGGCAGCTGAAGGGGAAGCAGTGGTGTTGTTGGTGGTGGCGGTGGTCGGCGCGTGCGACGGTGGAGCGAGGATGGGTCTGGGCGTGGTGGATGTGTTGGATGTCGTGGCTGTATCGGAATTGTGGTCAATTCCGCTCTCGTGGATGCGCATGTGG